TTTCGCTTCGGACGGTGGGTAAACAGGTAGCAGCAGTATCAGCAGTAGGAAGGCGGTTCCTGTCAAGCGTGCAGAGTTCGAGTTTTGCTCCTCGAACTTTGCGCGTTGTTCCCGTCGAGATCATTCGCTGCTGGTAGCGGCATCGCCTCGATGGCGCAAGCGCTCCTTGCCTGAATGATAACTACAAATCTCGATTACTTTTCGGAAGGACATATCAGCTCTTTTGTACACAACGCATTTTATCGTCGGTTTTGGCATAACTAATAGCTCGCCTCACATACTAACACCGGTAACAGGTTGGGAAAATTTTCCGCTATCTGATGGTAGTACTAGCATGCGTGGGAGAGCTACCAGTTACGCCAAATCGACGATCAAATGCGTTGTTTACAAAAGCTGATACGTTCCTACGAAAAAGTAATAGAGAAATACTTCTTGGGCTGTGTACCAATTGCCGAATTAAATTTAACTCGTGGTTAAACGTGACATTTCGTAAGTTATTTTCAATGTTCGAAAATGCCGGAAATTGATCAGTTTTCAAACAGAACTCAGCCACGGTTACCAAAACTTAACTTCTAGTCGGTCCGAAATAACCACGTTTATTGTAACATTGCCTCGATTGCTACACAGTCTTGGAAGTAAAATTAGGGCCATCCATAGATTACATATATTTTTGACCAATTAACTCCCCTTCCCCCTCGGAGCGTGTTTTGCAATACACCTAATATATGGCCGGTCCCAACTTCTAAAACCCCTCTCCTCCCTCAACTACCACGTTATTTATGAAAGTTAACCAATCATTGGGCAACGCTGAAAATCAGCAGCACACACCAAACAAAATGGGTTGGACAGTTATGCGAAATTTCGGAATTTAGGTCAAAATATTATAGTTTGAAATGCCCCCATTTAGTTCTCGGTACATCTTTAATCTGTTGATTGAATTAAAAAAAATCTTAGTATGGTTTTTTTTAAGATTTTGTGCGTTTTGTGAACGCACATTTATTATTTTGTATAAGAAAACGGGAACGGCGTTTTTCTGTGGTGATAAAAAGGATAAATGTTATGAATTATCAGACGGAACCTCTATTTATGCTTTTAGATTAGCTATGAAACTCCCTCCTACTTGGAAAATTAAGCTATAGAACGGTTTATACAACCCCAGTTTTTTTTTGCATAATTCTTCAAGTAGATGGGACTTGCAATGCTTATCTCTTAGCATTAATAGAGGTACAGTCAAGTTTTTTTTTTCAGTGCTAGGTTCTGAAATTTGACAGTGAGCGTTCAATAGGCCTACTTGTAATGTTCGATTCTCTTCATCGATTTTCTGTTTACAGCTAAGCGAAACAATTCAAGCTGAACATTGCATTAGGTCCTAAGTAACACTGACAAGATCCTCTTCTTCGACTTTCTCCTTGAATCTACTCGGCCCAGGTATTTTCAGCACACAAAACGATAAAATAAGTTTTTATCCAGCATCTAATACGACAAACACAACAAGAAACGATTATGTGCTCAAGTTATTAAGGCTGTGTTCCATTTGGTGAATTTTTACTTAAATTTGACGGACGGAAAATTTTAAAATAAACCTGCTATTCCAGCAGACTTATTTCTCACAGACAAGGAATCAATTTGACAGACGCTTTCTCGAAAATCGGCCGATCTACATCAGAGGGAACACAGCCTTAGTATTTTTATTTATTTGTTTGATCGGTAGATAAAAGATGTACCGAGAAATTATTGCAGGGGTTCATGGCTATTTGATATCATCTCGATGAACTATGAAATGTTGCATAACATTGATGCAAAATTGTACACTCCGTTTTTTTGTGTGCATTTATTTTTAGCGTTTTGAAGTTGAATCGCTGAGGATCAATCTCATTACAATAGAAAATTTTCAAGAGTATTATTATTATTTAGCTTTATTAAGGAGGCTTTCAGCCTTGGGCTGGTTCGCCTCCAAAGGTTTTCAAGAGTACAGATATCAGCTCTCACAAAACTTATAACAAAGAAACTGGAACTTCACGTTTGTTGCAGTCCAGTACACAAGGAGTTTTAATTTCATGCGTGATGTCACAACCGTCCAAATTTATGTCTTAGAAATCTTGAAGTGATAGGGAATATCAGCCATCATGACGGTCATTGTTGAACGCTTCAATGAATCACCTGAAAAAAGCCTTAGTCATATCTGATTGTAATTTAGGAACCAAATGAAATAGAATATGTCTTCGCATTTTTATGAGGTCCTGAATTCAACCAAGTTTACTAAGTAGGAAATCCAAAATATGTACATAGGACCGAAATCATAGGTTACTTCTACTGTATTTTAAACCAATGTCTAGAAAAAATGCACGAGAATTTCACTACACAGCTTAAAGTAGTCTACGTCAACCCTGTGATCGCGTCTTGTACACAACCCCACCAATTTTTTTTTTATATATTTAACTGCGTGACAGCTTAGTTTTTAAGACTTGATCCATTTGAATAAATTTTGCTTCTATCTTTGACAATACAGCAAAAGGACTAGCCAATGTTGGCCGCTTGAACACTGGATTCCGTGTGTATTGTTTCAAGATAGTCATAGAAAAAATGCTGTGACGCGTGCGCGTAGATACATTCGCGTAGTAAACCGATTGAATAAGTAAATCCGTTTCGAACGAAAATCTAAATTATGTAAGTTACGAAAACCGCTCGAATTCCGAAAACCGTGCTAGACAACCGAAGCGAGAAAAAAAGGCTTATTATCATTTAGAGAGTGCCACCAAAATAAATGTGATAGCCTATGTCGGCAAGTTGATTGATTTTGGTTTCCTCCCTTAAAGAACGTATCAATCATTTCAAGATTTCACGATCGCACCGAACAAATTTTATACTACATAAGTTAAAAAGTGTTTGACAAGCTCTACCGAATTGCGTATCACTTCTGCGTAAGCTCCGTAGACGTAGGCGCGTTGAATCCGACAGTCGGCAAAGGTTTAACCTGTACCCACACCGCTTAAGGAACGACCTCAAGTCAGTAAAACCGTTCAGAGCTAAACATCTAAATTACTTAAGATACGAAAATCGCGCAAATTGTGAACGCCACGCGAGACAACCGTACAGAAAAAACAGCTTATTATCACTTAAAGAGTGCTACCAAAATAAATGTGATAGCCTATGTTGGCAAGTTGATTAATTTTGGTTTCCTCCCTTAATATTCTACTTATTTTACTGTTGAGCTTTGTTTCAATTTAGTTATTTTACCGCGCGTATCAATCATTTCAAGATTTCGCGACCGTACCGAACAAATTCTGTACTACAGAAGCTCAAAAAAACTTTTGGTGAGCTCTACCGCATTGCGAATCACTTTTGTGTAAGCTACGCAGACGTAGGCGCGTTGATTCCGACAGTCGCGAAAAGTTAAACATGCATCAATACCACATAAGGAAAGATCGATTTTACGTATGATTTAGTTCATAGATTAACATTGACTGCTGTTTACAAATGTAAGTACTTGAACACTAAGAAATAAGTTAACTCAAATGCTTTAACCGCATATATATAAGATTTATTCTACAACTTTAAAGGTTAGTTGTCTCCCTAAGCGGACCCCCCGCATCCTAATTCTTTTGTTAATCTACTTAATGTCATTAGACTTTCTGAAGTTTCTTATTTAAGTTCATTCGATGATTATGATATATCATTAGTCTAAATTAATAGATTATTAATCCTAATCAATCATAACCCATGCTTTAATAAGTACCTGCACTAATCTAAAATTTAACGTGTTTCAAGTACTTTTGATTTAAGCCTATACCTATTTATTATATCTTAGTTCGACCCAGGTAACACCTTCATGTGACTAAAATGCTTCATTTTGAAGTTAGTTTCCTAGCTGATTTTCAAATTATATAGTGTATATGCTCCAACTATGCTCACACGCTTCCATTATGTCGCACCACAAAAATACGTATGGGTATGTCACAATAGAACCACGCCACAGTGGAAATCCCGAGCCATAGTTCAAACACTTATCCCAAATCAAAATGAAGCACATATAAGATTAGTTACAATACCATGTACAAAAATGATGTTTAACATTGTTACCTGAGTAATACTTCAATGAAAACAACAATGAAAGCTTGTCACGCAAATAGAAGGAGCACCGTTGGGCACTTTCTGAAATATTTCAATAGTTTAATTCCCTTGCAAACCCAAATAAATCTATCTGTGTAAAAATAAATAAAATAAGAGTGATTTGCGGCAAAGCTCGCCAGTATCACACCCAACGTCAATGCCTATACGTAAGCGTACTACGACGCCGATGTCAATTATACAAGGTCTGGCCCAACCGGCTTATTGGTATTAGTGAAATGTGAAAATGTCTAGTGGTGCTCGTATTTCATCGCAATGTTTATCTTTTTACTCGAAACAGCTGTTTTCTGTGACGACACGTCTGCTAATCGCAGTATGGAATGTTGTGCTGCCACACACTACGAAAAAGAGATGTAAATTTCAGTGCCCTGAGCAGTGCTGCAAAATCTCGACAGTACACGGTGATATTGACAATTCTGCTTTGGTCACTCATTTAAGCTTAGAGTCATAGTCAAGGCAAACCATGTCAATTGTCAATGACAATGGTGTCAGTGACGAACATGTGCAGATTTGTTTATTAGCTAAATGTGTAACGAAATTAAACGACTTGAGCAAAACAATTACATGGATCAATTTGAGTGAACAAGTATCTACGTCCTGAGCTACTTGGATAACAATAATGCGACACATAATGTACTAAATTACACTTTCTGTTACCAGGTGAATCTTTGTCATTGACGAAAAAATGAATGAGATTTTGACGCAGGTTTTTTTGAGGTTCAAGTCTGTCAGTGACTATGTGACGAACAATTTTGTCAATATCGCGCGAAAGTCTGTCAATGACAATGACAAATCTCAGCACTGGCCCTGAGACCGACACATGCAAGCGGCCCTTTTGACATAAGAATCAGTTGAAAAGGACGAGAAAATCAATTCAATCAAACTCACTTTTCGTCGAGTTGCATATGTTTCTGTCTCAAAACACTTAATTTTACATGTCATGTTTGTTTACGTTCCATGATTTACGTCAAAGCTGAATTACGTCTCGTGTAAAAGTAATAATTTCTAAGTGTGCATGACATCGGCATTCGCTTGCTCAGCAATGTTTACAACATTTTTGCTTCTAACACTAGCAAGCTGCCTGTTGTTCCAGACCTTGTATGATTGACATCGCTACGACGCGGCTCTCAATCAAAGGAGTAACAAGTGTGATAGTATCCTTGCTAGACTAGATCTTTGGTTCTCTCATGCAGGGGTTTATCAGAGAGAGGAAGCTTAGTAATCCCCATTGCCTGCTCATAATGCCATTCTATCGCGGCATGAGCCAGCAACGCCGGCCATAAACCTACCTTCTCCAACACTCCACTATAAAGCATGAAATTAGGCTCGCCCACCAACAGCAAGGTGCAAAAACTAGCCAAGGGGAGGGAACCAAATTTTGTTCATTTAGATCCAAGCTTGAAAAAACCGGTGGAGCCCCACAATTGGCGTTGACGGCGACTCTGTAGCTCTCTACTCATATTAGAGTCGGTGTATAATGAGTCACGCCAAGAGTGAAGCCAAGTCTACCTATCAAACTGTCAAACCAGCTACCTATCGTGCAAAGTAAACAAACATTCCGATGCTATGAAAGGTCCACGAAAAGTATTGCAATAAAATATAAAATATAACCGAAGAAATGATAACAAACACGCAGTGAGCATTCAATTGTCATGGGATACGTTTGGTAATGATCAGTAATGAGAATTTCTCTTATTTTTTTTAAGATAATTTGACAAAATCAATGATATAATGATTTACTACCGACGCTATTATTTTTTTCTGGCTAGAAGTCATTTGAAGTTCATGTAAAAGCCCTCTGTTACCAAGTTAAAAGAAAGGGAATCTTTCGAAAACCGTGATGCGAGTTCAACTGTTTTTCTCTTGGCGTGACTCATTATACACCGACTCTAACTCATATGAGGAAATCCATAAGCAAACGTCAGACTGTGCGTGAAACATGGCGGACTTTATCCTACACGGCGAATTATAACGACCCAAATTTGAGTTTTGTTCACTCATAATCGCCAAAAGTGCAGGAACTCAGCGATGAGTAAAATTTGTCTCATGGTTCCCTGTGGAAAACCTAAAAAATCTACCGGAAAATAAGGAAATTGACGAAAATTTTATTCAGTCTCGGAGTAGTACCAATAGACTGAGTGAATCCAATCTTTACTTTTCCCAAATTCGGGAATTTTTCCCTGGAAAATCCTGGAAAAACCTGGGAAAACATGAGGCAAATTTACGCTTCGCTGAGTTCCTGCACTTTTGGCAATTATGAGTGAACTAAACTAAAATTTAGGTCGTTCTCATTCGCCGTGTGTTCTTTCACTCCACCGAAAACTCCCATAAGTAACTTTCTATATATAGTGGAAGAGCAAATTTTTCGACGGTGCCGTCAACGCCAATATCAACGTCACTCCGTCGTTTCGGATGCCGATCCCCATATCATCCTCACCCCCACCCGACGTCGAAAGAAAACAGATAATCCCCCAACACCAAACGTAGAAAGAGGCCGGTATGAGGACCAGCGTCAAAAACGACAAAATGACGCTAATATCACAAATTTTCACCGGTTTTACTGAACTGGAACCCCCGGACACCCACTCCAACGCCCCCCGGATCCCAACACATAGACCACCCTTAATCACATCGAAAAATAGATGCCCTGTCCAGTGCTGCAAAATCTCGACAGTACACGATGATATTGACAATTCTGCTTTGGTTACTCATTTGAGTTAACAGTCATAGTCAAGGCAAACCATGTCAATTGTCAATGACAATGGTGTCAGTGACGAACATGTGCAGATTTGTTTATTAGCTAAATTTGTAACGAAATTAAATGACTTGAGCAAAATAATTACATGGATAAATTTTAATGAACAAGTATCTACGTCCTGAGCTACTTGGATAACAATAATGTGACACCGAATGTACTAAATTTCACTTTTTGTTTTTTTTTTATTTTAACCAGTATGTTTATTTGGAAGGCTCAATCGCGTTAGCTTTACGGAGCCGATACTTCATTGTTCTTTGTTTGTAACAAAATTCACTTAATTCTATGTCTAGTAGGAGTTGGGCCGAATACTCGCGGCTTACTCGAGGTTAGAGAGGTACATTGTCGAAGGATAGGATCAGGGGAGGAGCTTGGGGGTAAGGTTTCGTTGTCTCATCAGAGCGTTGTCGCCAGTATGAATGGTAGTGCGGTTCTAGTTTCGTCTGGAGTTCGACCGGCTATGGTGGGTGACCAGTGGGCGACGATGAGACTCATCGAGACGGGGGGACAAGACAAACAAAAACTAATAAAGAGAGACAAAAGACAAAGGAATTAAATTCTTATACTAGACATTTGAAGAAATACATAAACCGACTGCATATAGCAGATATCGCGAGTCCCCAACACGTCTCTGATAGGAACATAGGGTTGTCTTCCTTGGGCCTCAAGGGTATTCAAAAGTCGCTCTCTGGCGGCGTAATTATCCGTACATTGCCAAACTGCATGATCGATGTCATCGTAACCGTTTCCACACCGACAGATGTTGCTGTCCACGAGGTTTATTCTATTGAGATGAGCATCTAGCGAGTAGTGGTTGGACATAAGTCTACTCATCACGCGAATAAAGTCACGACTTAAGTCCAAGCCTTTAAACCACGCTCTCGAAGAAACATTAGGAATAATTGAATGTAACCACCGTCCAAGATTTCCATTGTCCCAATCGGTTTGCCAACTCGAAAGGGTACTCTGACGCACTAAATAGTAAAATTCATCGTGTGAAATTTGCCTGTCATAAAATTCGCCTTCCTGCGCGCCCACCTTTGCGAGAGAGTCCGCCTTCTCATTGCCTGGGATTGAGCAATGTGAGGGGACCCATACAAAGGTAATCATATATGATCTTTCGACCAGCACACACATCTGCTCCCTTACCTTTGAAAGGAAATAAGATGAGTGCCTACCTTGTTTCATCGACCGAATAGCCTCAATCGAACTGAGACTATCCGTGAAGATGAAGTAATGGTCTGCGGGCATGTTGGAAATCATCCCCAATGCGAAGTTGATTGCTGCCAGCTCAGCAACAAAAACGGAACAAGGTTCCTGAAGTTTGCGGAAGGCGCTAGAGTTTTCATTGAAGACACCGAAGCCAGTGGATCCATTGAGACGGGACCCGTCTGTAAAATATCTTTTCATGCAATTGACTTGTTGGTACTTTTCAGTAAAAATACGTGGGATAATAATAAGTCGAAGTTGATCGGGAATCCCATGAGTTGCTTGTTTCATGGTCAGATCATATTCAATTGAGGAACTGCGATTGGTGAAGTGAACACGGTCTGGAGTATAACAAGGAAGACACATATCTGATGATATGTAGTGGTGGTAGATTCTCATAAATCGAGATTGTGTGTTCAGCCCAAGAATTTCTTCAAAATTTGCAATTATAAGTGTGTTCGTCACTCCGCATTTGATTAGTATTCTGAGAGAGAGCTCCCAGAAACGGTTCTGGAGGGGTGTTACTCCTGCCAGAACCTCGAGACTCATGTTATGCGTTGAGTGCATACAGCCTAGAGCAATACGCAGACAACGATATTGAATTCGTTCCAATTTTATTAGGTGACATTTTCTTGCCGAGAGAAAGCAGAAAGAGCCGTACTCTAGAACAGAGAGAATAGTTGTTTTATAAAGCGTTATGAGGTCTCCCGGATGAGAACCCCACCATGTGCCGCAAATTGAACGGAGAAAGTTGATCCTCTGCTGACATTTTTGCTTCAAATACGTAATATGGGCATTCCAAGTGCACTTTGAATCAAACCAGACCCCAAGGTACTTGAAAGACAATGATTGGGTAATGTTTCTGCCCAAAAGATTAAGCTGCATTTGGGCTGGGTACCGCTTTCGAGTAAACACTACCAGTTCAGTTTTCTGCGGCGAGAATTCGATCCCTAGATTCATAGCCCAAGAAGACAAGTTATCTAAGGAATTTTGCAATGGTCCTTGCAAGTCCACGGCATGTGGACCTCTTACGGAAACCACACCGTCATCTGCAAGTTGTCTAAGCGTGCATTGTTCTGCCAAACAGTTGTCGATATCTTTGACATAAAAGTTATAAAGAAGAGGGCTGAGACATGAGCCTTGGGGCAGGCCCATGTAGCTAATTCTGGAAGTTGTCAGGGAAAAGTTCATTTGCTTTTCTGACAACAAATTGTACAAGAAATTATTTAAAATTCCAGAAAGTCCACATCTGTGCAGATTGTCTGACAGAATTTCAATGGAAACTGAATCAAAAGCCCCCTTAATGTCCAAGAATACTGAAGCCAATTGCTCCTTGTGTGCAAAGGCCAGTTGAATATCTGTGGAAAGCAGCGCTAGACAATCGTTTGTTCCTTTGCACTTGCGGAACCCAAACTGTGTATTTGATAGCAAGTTATTTGCTTCGACCCACTGATCGAGTCTCCGAAGGATCATTTTCTCCAACAATTTCCTAATGCACGAAAGCATTGCAATCGGACGGTATGAGTTATGGTCAGACGCTGGTTTGCCAGGTTTTCGAATGGCTATTACTTTGACCTGTCTCCATTCAGGCGGTACAATGTTATTTTCTAGTAAGGAATTGAATAAGTCTAGAAAGCGTCTTTTAGCGATGTCTGGGAGATTTTTCAGAAGATTGAATTTAATCATATCGCTTCCCGGTGAGGAGTTGTTTGATGAAAGAAGAGCCATAGAAAATTCCAGCATTGTGAATGGTCTATCCAGAGAGCTGCCGCTCGGAGACGCTTCTCGAAGAATGTGTTGTGCTGGAACTGAGTCCGGACAGACCTTTTTAGCGAAATCGAATATCCATCGGTTGGAGTATTCTTTACTCTCATTAGAAGATGAGCGGTTACGCATGTTGCGAGCCACCCTCCACAAGGTGTTCATTGAGGTTTCTCGTGAGAGTCCCTCGACGAAATTGCGCCAATAACCGCGTTTTTTTGCTTTGATTATTTGTTTCAGCTTTGTTTCAAGCTTTGAATATTCCTCGAAGTATGTGGAGGTTTTGTGTCTACGAAAAGCTTTGAAAGCATCAGATTTTTCTAAATACAATTTTGTGCATTCTTCGTCCCATCCAGGTGTGGCTGGTCTCCTTTTCAAGGGCGCACTTGGAACTTTTCTTTTTTGTGCTTCCAGTGAGCTTTTGTATATCAAATCGGCGAGGAATCGATATTCTTCCAATGGTGGAAGTGTATCTATTGATTCGGCACCGATTGTCACCGCCGTTGCATATTTCTGCCAATCTATGTTCCTTGTAAGATCAAATGGAACACGAGATGGTTCTGCAGAGTGAGGGGCACACTTAATTGAAATGATGATTGGCAAATGATCGCTACCATGGGGATCATTGATAACCTTCCACATACAATCCAATGATAGCGATCTTGAACACAAAGATAGGTCGAGTCGGCTTTCTCGAGCCGGAGGTTTTGCTATACGTGTCGCTTCACCAGTGTTCAAAATAGTCAAGTTGAAATCGTCGCATAAATCGTAAAAAATAGCCGCTCTATTGTCATCGTATAGATCGCCCCACCCAGTACCATGGGAATTCATATCACCTAGAATTAATACTGGGGATGGAAGAATCGAAACTAGATTCCAGAGTTGACTACGGCTAATGGAGGTTCTTGGTGGAACATAAACTGAAGCTATGCAAAGGTCTTTGTTCTTCACATTTATTTGGCAAGCGACGATTTCGACGCCTGATAGAGCAGGAAGGGAAATTTTGTAGAAAGGGTAGCACTTTTTGATCCCTAAAAGTACTCCTCCATAAGAATCGTCTCTATCCAGGCGAATAATGTTAAAATCGTGGAAGTTGAGTTCTTTATCGGAAGAAAGCCATGTTTCACAGAGAGCAAATATATCACAATCAGAATTGTGAAGTAAAAATTTGAACGAGTCTAGTTTAGGCACTAGACTACGGCAGTTCCACTGTTGCACCGTGATCATATCTTCAACCTCGTTCGACGAATTATCCATCGAAAGATATGATTGATGCAAGGAGGGGCCATGAAACAGTCAATTGCTTAAGATATGATTCTAACGTTGGAAGCAAGGCAGAAACTAAGCTTCTTAGAGGGTCTTGTATGTTGAACATGTTTAATATGAATTCCACAATGTCCGAAAAAGCTAGCAAACCTCGTTCGGACTTGGATTTCTTTTGAGAAGTTTGAGGAGCAGCTTTTTTATTTCTTTTATCTTTGTTGGGCAATGGCGGAAAATTCTTGCTGCATCCAGGGATTGGATCAGCAGGAGCCTTCGGTTTTGTTTTTTCATCCTCATTACCCTGGGAATTTGGCAATCTTCTGGAGGTGATTTTAGTTTTCTTACGGCGCACTTTCGGGGAGGGGCATTTTCTTTTTGAGGATCCGTCCATTTTTGAAGGTGCGTGTACCACCGTAGAATCACCTTCATCCGATGAGTCAGAGTCCGATTCTTCAGCTGACAAAATCGAAAATTGGTTTGCATCTTGGACGGCTGATGCAGCCTTCACCATTTGCGCATAAGTCTGCTTGGAGCGTCCAGAGATTGAACGCTGCACTTTATCGGAGTGCTGCTTGTACATGGGGCACTCCTGCAAGGGGTGAGGATTCTCGCCACAGTAAGCGCATTTTACTGATTCTTTGTGGCAAGAATCCTCTTTGTGGTTTTCACCACATTTGCCACAACGAGTTTTGTTGCCGCAATGGCTGGCCGAGTGTCCCAGCCTTTTGCAGTTGGTACAATTAGAAACCCTCTGTACAAACAACCGCACCGGAAAAAAAGCACCATCAACTTTGACAAAGTTTGGGAGAACTGAACCAGCGAAAGTCACCCGAAACGAGTCTGAATGCTGATAAACTTTCTTGCCATCTTGTAAAGACACTGAATGCAGTTGCCTAACATCCAGTATCTTTACAAGCTCGCTTGTGACTTTTCTGTTTTTAAAACAACCCGAGGCACGTTTCAAGTCCTCGACAGACAGACTCGCGTCGGATACCACGCCTTCTATCTCCACATCTCGAGAAGGGATGTAGATGTTGTACTCAACACTAAACAACTCGTGATCAGCAATTTTATTTGCTACATCATAATTCGGTGCTTCTACACGCAGTTTGTTGAATCTCTCCTTATGTACCAAGATTCCCGGATACTTACGCAGCAAGTCTCTCGAAATATCGAGAGTTTTCAAGGGTTTATTTTTAGGCCGAAAAAAGACAACCCATGGTCCTTTCGAAAGTGGTTGGTAATACCTGGTTCGCGCAACGTTGGCATCGGAAGATGCCATAAGTGTTGCGCAAAAGCGGTGCGCAACCGCTTAAGAAGGAAAAAAATAAAAACCTTCTCCAATTTATTAATTTTAATTACTAGTAATTAATTTTTTTGCACGGCGTACAAGCACATTAAAGCGATGGAAACGCGGTAAAAAAACGAGTGTCGTATGAAGAGACCAGGACGCTGTTAACTGGCTCAGCGCTCGATACGGAATGACACTTTTTGTTATCAGGTTGACGAAAAAATGAATGAGATTTTGACGAAGGTTTTTTTGAGGATCAAGTCTGTCAGTGACTATGTGACGAACAATTTTGTCAATATCGCGCGAAAGTCTGTCAATGACAATGACAAATCTCAGCACTGGCCCTGTCTGCCAATTTCCATTTATTTGCTATCCATTTTAAATGTTTTGTTTTATCCCGCATTCAAATGCTAAAATAATTTCAAAATATGTTTTTTTTATTCTCAACAAGAAAAGCGTGTTTTAAATAATCATATTTATTTTTGATTACATATAGTTGTCAAATCAACTAAAAATATTCACGTTTATTTTCAACAAGAATAATTTTAAAATAAACGTAAAAAAAAATTTTTTTAACATTATTAAAAATGGAATACGTTTGATATCAACCTAGTTTATGTTTGTGACCAGAACAAACTGAGTCTACGTTTAAATTTACCTCAAATATGTTTGTTTCGATGGTAAATTTTTCTGCGTGATGATGATGTCTTCGGTTTAATGCTAACTCCTTTACTTCAAAACGGGAAAAAAAAACTCACTGGCATGATGCTTTTACACGGAATTCAATGTGATAATAAAATTATTATCAATAAATTATCTCAACATTTAGTTGAAGAACATTCATAAATTGAGTAGGGGAAAGAGGGGCATAGTAAACAGGTGGGGCATAGTGAGCATCCCGTGCACCAGCTTGGACTTCCGGCCGTTCGGAACAAATTTATTGGTGGTAGGATCAATATCATAATGATTTTGAAACTACTACCAGTTGATTTGTTTCATGCAGCTAGAGATCCAGGGCCAAATTGCGGAATGCTCACTATGCCCCACCTGTTCACTATGTCCCTCCTCACCCTATTATTTAGAAATGATATCAGGCATAACATTTGATAACGGCACAACAGCATTTGTAAACAAACTTTCTAAAGGGCCTTAGAAAGTTTGTTTACAAATTATTTTGTGCCGTTATCAAATGTTATGCCTGATATAGTCCATATAACATTTCCTATGCAAAGGCTGATCGAAATAAACGTTATGGTAATTGAGCGAACGAAAGAAACGAATCGTGCGAAGCGGAATGAAAACCGAGAGATAAACGAAGTGCACCAATACATTCAGCTCTTCAGTTCCACTTCTTGCACAGACCAGATTGGTATGTGCCTGTTCATTTGCTGTCCCTGCGTTTGCATTCCCTACTGTTCAATTGCCCCAACTGTGGATCGTTCATCGTAACTTACAGAAAGTAAAAGCTCTCTGCCGTTACTTTAGTGAGCTTTCCGACCACCTTTGCAGCTTGTAACACTTAAGGTATGGTAGCGCCACTATTGGTGGAGTGCCGGGATTTGCAACTAGATATATAAAAACAAATACAGCAGAAATGTATAGCTCCCGTACAGTAGCCCGGATTACACTACTTTTTAATGTGGTAGTTTTCGATTACTAAACATTGTGAAACACAACCTCGGTTGGTGTTGGTTTAACCAATCAGAGCAGGACACGTTGGAATTCTGAATTTATTTCTCGTATACGAAGTGGCAAACGATATTATTCATATGAGTCAGGGTTATTCCTGTTAGACCTGTGCGAGTGATCAGATCGTCAAGCCTAATCGTCAAGTCAAAGTTATACCCAAGTGTGCTATATTGTTCATACCGAGTGTGCTATTCTATATAAGTCTAGAAGTGATAATACGCGTGATAGCTTTCTTTGTTTTATAAAGGTGAGTTCAGCGATTTTCGTTAGTTTTCTAAACCTAATTATATAATGAATAGCCAGATAGTCAGACTGAATACTAACTGTGACGCATTTCGCACCAAATCGAATCGAAGCTGGTAGCGAATGACTTTTAGGAAATTGTCCAAGTTTTTGAAAAAAAAAATTCTGAAAAAAAAATCCATTGAAACCTACACTAAACAAAAAAAAAGATTTTTAAAATTTACATTCGATTAAAAAAATAGCCACGTTTGATTTGGATGAAACTTTGCCTCAAGATAGGTAATTATGTTAACTACCATCCGTCCATGCATCGGTAGATGGGCACATTTAAGGAAAAAAAGAGTTTTTCGTACAAAAATGTCTGAACTGATTTTTTTAACGTACCATTTTCACACAAAACTAAACCAGTGAAGCTCAAAATCACCTCAGAACCCAATGAAGCTCAATTTGTGATTCAATTTTGTCTAATCAGCAACTATTCACTTTGATTAATCGAGAATTCCATATGAAAAGGGCTTATATCATTAGAAAATAATATAATTGATTTTATTGTCTACTACTGAGCAAGGTTGCAAAGACTCATTTCAGCTAAAATAATGTTTTTCGGAATAATAAAACCAAAAGATGGTATGATGGCATGTTTTACTTGTAACTTACAAGAAGAGGTTACAAAGTATGCATTGGAAACATAAAACCTGTAAATTTTGCTTTCTATGAGTCACAATCAGCGATTTGCTGATCGCTGAGTGAGTGAGTGAGTGAGTGAGTGAGTTTGTGAAAAATCGCTGATTGTGACTCTCATGAAGTGAAATAAACAGGTTTAATATGTCAAACACATTCTTTGCAACCTCTTCTTGTATCCTACCAATTCAAAATTTGATCATGGCATCTAATTATTTCATAATTTAGAAAAACATTGTTTTAGCTGAAATGAGTCTTTGCAACCTTGCTACTGAGACAAAATCCGATACTTCTATAGCAACTTAGCATTCTTAGCTAAAATTATCCATTAAGAATTAGGTATGAATAAAATTTAAATTGAGATCTTCTTTCGTATCAACATAGCGTCATTATTCTATATACCCTTCTGTTATTTATACCTAAACCATTAACATTATATACCTACCACTTCACTCTACCAATGAGCACTGTAAAACTAAGATTGATTTCATACAAGCAGCAGTCAATCTGATAACGAAAGTTGTGAAGACAAGTTTTAGTAAAATTATGTTCATGGACCAAAGTAGTAAATTAAGGCTCAAAGGATTGAAATGTTGTGCAAATATAAATAATCTGAGATGCAACCGAAATAAGCTATGGGCCATATCGCCAACAATGGTAGAAAAAATAAAAAATGATCTGCAACGCCCATATAATGTTGAAAAGTTTAATGGATTTGTGGAAACGTTGAATTTATCTCCAATTTCATCGAAGAACAAAAGGAGCATGGATTATCGTTCAAAAAAGTCGCTAGAAATTACACAAGCAGTTCGAAAAAAATATATTTGGCCCAGATACAGCAGACATTAGAAAAGTAGAGGCATACGAAGAAATGATTGTGCAACTAAAGGAGAAGTTCAATTCCCCTACATGTGACAGAAAAGCTCAGATAACAGTATTATCAGTATTGCCCAAGTCTTGGTCCGTGATTAAAGTCGTAGTAGAATTCAACCCACCAACGTACATGGTGAGGCAGGTGAAGAGCCTTGTTAATGAGCAGGGTATTCTAAGCACAAAAGCAGTGGGCATGTGATCAACGATGGTACAAGAAAAAATAGTTAGTGAATTTTTTGGTGACAATGATATTAGTAGACCTATGCCTGGAACAAATGATTTTGTGTCCGAGTTTAGAAATGGACGAAAAGAACACGTGCAAAAGCGCCTGTTAATGATGTCCATCAAAGAAGCGTACATGGTTTTTGTTGATACATATAAAGATATTAATATTGGTTTCACTGTATTTACACAATTGCGACCAAAACATTGCATTTTGCATATTATATACATTACATACATTATATTTGTGCAATTCATGAAAATGTTAAATTAACTATCAACAATTAAAGAATTATGTCACAAGATGCAATAATAGAAAAAAAAATGCTTTGTAATATTTCAACTAGAACAACTGATTGCTTGCAAAAAGTGTGCTTCCAATGAAAATATTGAAGAGGAACTTACTAGAATCAAATGACAAACTAGATGTTGTGTTTCAACCGTGGCTGAATACTGATCGTTGTAATTTGGAAACGATTATCAAGCCTGTTGATGTATTTGTTCCATATCTCGTGGTTAAAATTAACAAACTTATGACACATTATTTCTTTTCTAATAAATAAAACAGAATCATTAAAGGAAGGGGAAATTCTAACAATTTGTGAATTTTCTGAAAATTATTCATTCATCATCCAAAACGCTGCTCAAGGATATCACTGGAATAATTCTCGAGCAACAATACATCCATTTGAAGTTTATTATAAGAAAGAAAATAAACTTGAAAATGTTAGCTTCATTATCATATTAGAAGTAATGACTCACGATACAGTTGCAGTACAGTTGTTCGTCTCAAAAATGATAGATTTTATTAAACAATCGATAGATTTTTCTAAAATAACTTTTATGTCAGATGGGGCAGTATCACAATACAAAAATAAAAAAATAAAACTTTGCTAGTATGTGTGGATTTCAGTCAAAGCATGGATTAGAAGCAGAATGGTATTTTTTTTTCTCATGGAAAAGGTCCCTGTGATGCCATTGGTGGCACTCTCAAGCGAATGGCAAAGAGAGCTAGTTTTGCCCGAGATTACGGAAACACCATAACACCACGAGAATTATATAACTGGGCAGTTGAACAAACAGATACAAATATCACAAAGCTACGTTTCGAGTACATATCCACTAAACAGTATTTTTTTTTTTGAAAACTTGGACAATTTCCTAAAAGTCATCCATACAACACATTTTTCCATAATATTTTTTTGAAAAAAATCGGCAAAACAAGTTTTGGCCTTCTCAAAGGTTAGTCTCGATAAATTTTGGATAAAATAAGTATATGCAAAGTGGTCCACACATCAAGAAAGTTTCATTGAAATCTGAGAGGGTGCTGCCAGCTCGGAATACGATTTGGCGCGAAATGCGTCCTGTGTAGCTCAGTGCCACTAAGAACTAATAAAGTGAAGCCCAAAGCAGACCCCCTTCACGCTTTGGAATTTAAAGAGACAGATAACAGCGCCAAACGGTTTGTGACGAGACAACGTTGAACTGCAGCGTTGGAAGAAAACACTCACACCAACATCTAAACATGTACGAACCCACACAACTGAGCGGACAGTATAGCGCAAATCAAAACACGAAGCGGTGTCATCAGTCATCGTCATCATTCAACTTCGGCTACTTCCGTTTGCGTTTGCTTTCACCGGCGTTGACAAATACTTCCTACGTTATAAAATAGGAAAGTAATGATTATTCCAACGTAATTCTCTGAATAGAATTCGTGCTGCATGGCCAAAGAAGACGGCACATTTTATTACGTTTAGCAAAGACTTCGATACGTTGCATTTCCAGTGGCTGGGGTTTTGGAATAATTCTTTAGAGAGAGCGAATGTTGTTCCCATGTTTACTTCTATGCTTATAAAGATTGTTTTGAGCACCAGCTCCAAAAATCATCAATTACTATTAGAGATTTGCATCTTACTGATATCGGTGGTATATTGGAAACTCTTTCGCTCGAAAACAAAAAATATTACAAGCATGATGCGCTTGGATGTGTGCTTGTTTTCTCAAGTGTTTCTGTTGCTTATAAAGTGGTAATGATTGACAAACGAAGCAATCACAAACAAGTAAGAATCTTGCTATCGCAATTGGAAAATCAAAGTTGGCACTCGTGGAGAATAGAAGAACTATGAGAGTGATGATGGTTTCAAAATTTTCCACGGCGAGGTATACGAGTGCAATCTTAAAATGCTTTTATTTTGCAAATGGAGCATTTTATTTAAATTGTCAGCAATCTCTATTGAGCCCTGGTGGTGAAGTTGGCGTGGAACTCCCAACAGTTTCAATGTGCACTCAACAGATTGCACTTCGATCACATAAGGGTAGTCATTATGTGCCTTGTATGAAGAATTGATTAGTGGGATATCTTGTTAATTAGATATCTTTGCATCAATGCATCATGGATGTTTCCAATTCGTTTTACTGATTTGTACCCAAGCAACACATCTTCGTGAAATTATGTTGAGTAAACATCTTTGCAACCAAAATCAGTCATACAAAGGTTATTTAAACTGTTATAGAACTTGTGTGTTGCTTGGGTATTGTTTCTATGTAGCATTGAGAACACAACTCTAAATTGAATACCATGTTTTCATATCAATGGTAATTTTACAGAAAATCATTCATTTATAACATTGGAAACATTTTACCAGACACAAACATAACACTATCAAACTTAAAGTGATCATTTTATACGATAGATGAGACGATAAAAGTATAGAGTTGATTGTTTCGTCAGAGTAGTATGGCAGTGTGAAAATTGTATATAGAGAGTAGAAAACGAGCAAAGCTCAAGTTTGATGAAGGTAAGAATCGGGTTGATCATCTCCTTTACCAAACTCCCTCGTTGGAAAGGACGGTGCAGGAGATGATCAATGATAATGATTAATTGAAAGAATACATCTAGAAATTAAATGTTTGATTATATTACATGCATCTTAAATTAATGTTTGCATTTATTAATAACACCTATACATAATTTACCTCTACTCCAGCTAGTGTTTCACGAAGAATAATCATTGCTTTACGGTCATATAAACGCACCTATCACTTGTGCTATTTTTTAGCAACAAAATTGTGGTTGGAATTAATAACCCAAGTTGCAAGTACTAGCACAAAGTTTTATAAGACAACCTCATCAAAATTGATTATTGATTGATTATTGTAAACAGCTTTACAATAATTGAATAAATGCTTAACAAATAAATCTGGAAGCACTGTTCGTTGTGAAGC